TCAACAGGCCTCTTGTCCAATCGCGTCACTCTGGTGCCATCACGTGGTCAAGCAGCAGTAGTGCAGCGAGGATTCACTTGATTCATGATGTCAAATTCATCAGTCCTCAGCTCCGAACAATAAAGGGTCCATTTGAGCCTTCTGCTTTCTAAAATAACTCACGAACAATACCCATCTATCTTTCTGTCTTTGCTGCCGTTTCATTCAAATGCTCTGAAAAAGATGCGCAGCAGCAGCAGCAGCAGCAGCAGCGCCCTCTAGGAGGCGCAGCGCTGACCATGGTGCTGACACATCTCTGCTTTCTTACATCACTGTCTCTCCCTGGGCTTGCTGGGTCACTTGCTTGAGGAATGATGATCATAAATGCTAGTTTAAAAAAAAAGCACAATTTTAAAAAGGAATTCCTGCCTTCTTAAATGTTCTGTGCAGGATCATCATTTTGCCAAAAGTAGCTGCTGTTTTATTTCATCATGTGCTGCTGCTGAAACAGTACAGACATGACTTCAAAGGGAAGGTGCAATAAATAGGATGATGGGTTCCTGAAAGCATCACGTTTTATCTCATTGTCCGACTGTACTGCTGAGAAATCACTGAATATACCAAAGAATGCAAAATGATGAATGTTATTGGTGTAATTATAAAAACAGAAAGAGCATATTTGACTTAAAAGTCGTTCTATACTTGAATTAGCCTTTAATTTAAACAACAACAACAATAAACAAACCAAAAGGCCTTGTTTTGTGCCAGAGAACAAAACAATCAAACAGACCACTTGCTTTATTCATCTTATGCTTCCCTCTTAAGTCAGAGATCAGCCAATAGGATGCAACCTGCAGTATCAATCTTGATGCTGTATTCATGTTTACTTTAATTTATTGTGCACTGTTCAAGTATTTTGGACAAATTGCATTTTGATGCAGCCCTGCTTCATGGAAATATGACTAAATCCCCACAGGACTGAAGGAAAACGGGGTTTCTGGAAGAGTACAGATCACATCTGAGTGCTCCAGAGGACGAGGAAAGAGGACATGTGAGAAGGGTTAGTTCCTGCTGTTTTATTAGTCAAAAATCATCAGCCTCTGATTCAGCCCAGGAAAATGTGCCACACTGCCAGAGACCCTGGCAATCTCTCCTGCTCTTGCATCATTTGCTCTTGGTATAAAGTGCCGGCTTTTGTGCGCATGTTCCACTGGCTTCTTGTGTCGTCCTCCTTCTCCATTGGCTCTCCGCGCCGCCCTGCGCTCCGCTTTTACACCAGACCAGCCTTCGCACGGCAGAGTGCGTGCGCCAAACGTGTGTGAGGAGCATCCAACCCACGCTGCCTGCAACCGGACTCGGCTACCCACGTTGCTCCGAAGAGGAAAAAGATGGAGAAAAAGAGCGAGATCAACGGGCACGCCATGCCCGGCTCTGCGTCCACCGACCGGATCCTGGAGAAAAGCGCGCAGAAGAGCTTCAAAGAGAAGCTGCTGGAGTTTTTGAGAAAGAACCTGCTGGTGATCATGACGGTGTCCGGCGTGTTGGTGGGCGTCGGGCTCGGCATGATGGTCCGCAACATGAACCTGACCAAAGCGGAGAAGACCTACTTCGCCTTCCCCGGAGAGATGCTCCTCCGGATGCTGAAGATGATCATCCTGCCCCTGGTCGTCTGCAGCCTCATATCGGGCGCCGCCAGCCTGGACACCCGCTCCCTGGGCAAGCTGGGGGGCATCGCAGTCGCCTACTTTCTAGTAACCACGTTGATCGCCTCAGGGATCGGGGTGACCCTGGCCTTCATCATCAAACCCGGAGTGGGCGCAGGAGCCCTGAACACCAACGACCTGGGGCTGGAGAGCGTCAGCAGCAACAAGGAGACCACCGACTCCTTCTTAGATCTGGCCAGGTACTCTTTAATCTTTATTAACACTTTGCTCTCTCTGGGATGGGAAATACTGGTATGTTAGGCAGAAGAAGCAGCTTGGGGGCTCTGAGAGGAGTTGTGCCACAGTGCGCCTCAGGCAACGAGAACACTGGTTGGTTACACACATGAGCGCCTCGACGCGCGAAGTCATCCAAAGCATGCGCGCACACGCTCAGCATGCACCGTGAAGCATCCAGGCTATCCTCTGTTACCATCAAACACTGGCTCTGTGTGTGAATGAATGGAAGTTTGTGGGTTAAAATCAATGTCATAATGAGCTATTTAAACTGTCTGACTGACCCATGTGGAGCAGGTCAGTGTATCCTCAAGTCTATCTGTAAACATCACTGTTTGTTTAGGTCAGGTTCCCCCCTGACAATGTAATATCCTCTCTTCAGTAGACTATACGAGGTGCTGTGGAAGGCAGTTTCCATTTAATACTTCTTTTAGAAATTAACCATAAGTGTTGTGTAACTTCTGTAACTGTTTTAATTTGCAATTCAAATTGACAGTGGACAAACTGTGCAGCACGTGTCCCCAACTCAAGAAGTTAGCCATTGTTTCAACAAGTTTCACTGTAGCTAAGTACTTTTACATGGGTGATCAGACCCTGTTATGTCAGTATCAGCTGTGCACAGAATTTCCTTTCTTTAAACTTTAGCTGGAGGTACCTGGTTAAAGCTACTTGCATTATTTTGTCCACGTGTAGCTCAGCCAATAGTGGAAGTGCATTCACTCCGGTACAGTTATGAAGTACTCACACTTTTCTTGAGCAAAATGTCCATGTTATTCTACTTCATGCGTTTGCCATACCACCATTTACAAGACTATGAAGATATTACATGCGTATTACATCAAACTAAATGTTAGTTAAAGGGTAAATCTGCAAATGTGAGTGAAGTAATTAAAGCAGGAAACAGATAGTGCTGCTTAATACTCCATTCATCCTCACCAACGGATGTAATCTGTCATACTGTAACACATTCACATCAACATAATGAACTTGAAGCGTTTCAGTTAGCTGGTAAGTGTCTAAGTGCCGCACTCTTCCTGGTAACAGAGTCATTCTCTGAATGCTTCTTTGACCACTGAGCTCAGCATGCAGTGAAAGCCAATGCTCAAGTGCCACTTACAGTAGTTATGTCTTTCTTCTTGCTTTCTGCTTTGCGTGGGAAAAGGGAAACTTGCACAGTGGACTTTTGCAGAGGCATCAACATCTGAGTGATTATGCAACATGAGGATTTGGAATTTTGGCAAAGTTTTTCCCCAATTTGGTTGTCATTTTAGAATCAATGTAAATGTCATGCCTTATTAATGCCTTTTTGTTTATGTGACTGTTACACACACACAGCCATGCCAAAATAAGGTAGACCAAGCTCACTATATATGTCATTTGTACATCAGTGGATCCCAGATTGCAGTCCAAGAAGTCAGCAAGTACAAAATGTACTTATGTCTGATTCTAAACAGGCAATCTGTCTTTCCAGCAAGCTCTTTATTATGCAGGTAGAGGTTTTGTGGTACAATTTTACTCTTTGTTTTGGCTTTTTTTGACCCGACAGTTCTAAAAAACTCTCGCCACAGCCTATAAATACCGGCATGCTTGCTGGCCATCAGTGGTCCTAATAATAAGTTCCCACAGTGTGAGGGAAAGCTCACAGCTGCTGAAAGAGTCGAGTGTATTTTGAGGAAGGCAAAAGAGGTGGAGGGATAAACGCCTGCAGCACAGTGTAGAACAAACTGAACGCTGTCTGCTGCAGTCAGCACTTCTCCGTTATCACAATCACAGGTGGGCAGGCTGCGTTTGTTTCTCAGACCAGACTCTTCAGAGCCAAGCTTTGCAGGCTGCAGCGGTGACCAGCTGCTGGAAACTTGGAGAGGATTTGAATGCCAGCTCTGATGGAGATAGTGTCATGTTTTGGTGTGTAGTTCTTATTCTTAGTTTATCCATTTGGACTGAAGGTGACAGTTTCAGTCGTCTTTAAATTAAATACGTTCTATTCACACAGAGTTTACGAGCACTCGGTGTATATTTATTCCAGTCAAGGCATAAAAGTGTTGACCTTTGGCAGAACCTTTGATTTTATGGTATGTTCAATGTTCAAGTTAAAATATAGTCTGAATCACTTTATCCTAGAATCTGTTAGGGGACCGTATGTCATTTCCACTAGACTCTCATTACACACCAGAACAGTTCAGAGTATCACTCACACACAAGGAACCGACAAAGACAAGGCCCGCTGCTGTCAAGCCTCCAGAAGAGTTTGTTAATGTTTTAACTGTGCCGGCAGCATGGCCACGCTGATGGAAGTGTCATTTGCTGTCTGGAGACATTCACAGTCTCCATCGTCTCATCATCTGCAGTTATGTTAATGGAAACCCATCTCTTTCACTGTCATGGGTTTGATCAGTGAAGGCAACATGAAAGCAGCTGGTAAAAACAATAGCTGTTCTTTCTTAACTGTATTTCCATGTGTACAGTGAATCTTACTTTGGAACTCCAACCAGAAGAGAGAACTTTCAAACTGTTGCCATTTCAAGAGGCAAAGAGCCAGCAGACAGACAGAACCTCTTCAGACCACATGACAGCAGCTGAATGACCCTTATTCCTGCTGTCCTGAATCAAAATTAACATGCATGATTTTTTTTGGGCTTTTATTAATTAGGAAATCAAGCTGTTATGTAACAGACTATTAAAAATCTGTCCACAGAGAGGAGGCAGTGGGGCTCGAGGAGGGCTCTGTGGGAAAAGCATGCCAGCTCTCTGCTCTGGGTTAATCCAGATCCTTGCCGCAGTCATGTGATAGGAAGAAACCCGACTGCCTTCATGGAGGGAAGAAGAGTTTAAGAAGTCTTGTGTGGCTGCAGGAATTTAACCTTGTAATTACATTTCTTAGCATCATTAGGAGGATAAAGAATTCTCAAAGTGAAGCTATAGTGGCTACCTGCCAGTGTGTCCAGTGGAGCTGACATATAGAACAGCTGAAGCAGCGTTTGGCCCTGGACCGAAGGCAAAGTTGACGGGGGTCATGAGGTTATGAGCTGAATTGCTTGGCTGTGGTCTGGCCATGGGAATAAATGTGAGCAAAGTCTGTATTTCTTTGCACAATACAGTGTGACCCCAGAGGATAAAGTTACCACAAACACACTAATACATGGAAAAGGCCTGCAGGCTTCCAGTAATCCCTGTATGATTATCTTACAGTAGTGAAAATAAACTCAGCATGGTGCCTATACAGACAGTCTGATAAGGAAAATGTTTTGATAATGGATTTATACGAGTGACAAAATGGATGATGAAGCAAACCGAGTGAAGATGGATAATGGATTATCATCCTCTTCGTTACTGTGACTGTTCTGAATGCAGAGCAGTCTTCCTATCAGTTTTGTCTTTTGTTTAAGAAGTTTAATCAGCGCCAAAATACTGGTGTTGTACCTTTATTTTTGGTTGTACTGAATCCATTGCTAGTCAGGGTTTGCATTTATTGGATACCTGCTGTTCCTTATGCACTGACCGCTGCTGTTACTGCTGTTGATCCATGAGGCTGTGGTTAAATGCAAATTATACAAGGGATGTACAAGCAAACACAGCAAAAGTGATTCAAACGAGACAATGGTGACATGAGGCGAAAACTTTACCAAAAGGAAAACTTCACAAAGTAATAGTTGCCATGTTAGCAGCGTGGTTGTAGGACTAGTCAGTGTGTCTGTTTGGGTCAACACATTGGTCCATGTTGGTTTACGGAAAAAAAAAAAAGTAAAATGATGTTTTAAAATAACAGTCTGGATTTCATGTAACTGAATCCACTGCCTTTAGTTTGTCTCGGTCACATCTGTTTCTTTTATTATTTTGCATTGTCTTGTTATTTCAACGCATGTGGCATAATCTAAAACCACTGACTTACAGCAAAATTGCCATAATAAATGTTGCACCTGGAATGGTCAACAACAGCAGCTCCTGTAGTTCAAATGAGGTGAAACAGTTTAAAACAGTTTAGTTATAAACTGGCTGTGTTTACTTCTCTGGCTGTTTGCCCGTGACTTGACTAAGAGTTGTATATCACATACATGGAAATGGTAGTTCACACTCATTTTATTGATAATAATTATCAGTGTTAAAAGAACAACCAGTGCTGCTTTTTTTTTCAAGGTTGCCAACTCTCACTCTTTCCTGGTGATAAGGCCTGGGAGATTTACTGCATTTTAAAATTCTCCTGGTCTCGTACCTACAGAGCCCAAGGTTGTTCACTTTGGCCTCACAGTTTTGCAGCTGTTAGTGAGTCAAAGTAGGGATGTGTTTTTTTTTTGTTGGGGTAGAAATTTCAAAAAAATAGCCTCGGGCTTAAGGAGGAACTAAATTCTGTAAGTGGAGAAGTACAAGAACACACATGCACAGGTGAGGATTTATTACTTAAAGGCTGGCTCATGAATTGTAAGAATACTGCAACATGCTGGACTGGTTTTGGTGTCTGCAAACAGCAAGGATCCAGATAAATGTTTCACTCATGTCAAGTCTACTTTGCAAATCTTCACCATTCATTAGCACCGACCTTTGGATAAACCTGGTCTGCAAGGTCTGGTAGTTGTTGCCTCACACTCTGCCTACAGGGATTGCTTGTCATGGGTATGATTTTGTTTTTTGGAGTTGCTAAAAAAATCGACGAGTATCATCTATGTTGTCTTACAATCTTATTGTGACCTTAGTAACAAGCTTCGTAAGTGCTAGTAAACGCTTCCACTGATCAACTCAAGGTAAGTTGAAGCACAAAAGAACACAGTGAAATCCCCAGGAGTAGTCGTTAATCCTAGCTGAGAGCCTGCTGAATCGTTTCGATAAAAGATGAACCCGACAGTAGATCAGTGTCTGAACAAATGCTCTGTCAGGGAATTTAGGGAGCAGTGGACTTTATGGAAGATCCTGGGAAAAGAGCCAAGGTGCAGTGAGTGTTTGATGACAAACCAATTTGGTGAACAATTTATTGTTTACATTAGTTAAGATGATATGGTCAAGTGATTTTTGAAAGATTTGCTCAATTTTTAAGCATCAATTTTTAACAAAACAAATTCGATCCATTACAATAGTTCATACCAGACCAACAGCAATCAGATGGTTTTAGTTTTCTGTGGCTCTGACTTGTTTTCTCTTCCTTCCACAGGAATTTATTTCCAGCGAACTTGGTGGCTGCTGCCTTCCGTTCTGTGAGTGCCAATGCCTGCCCACCACCCCACATCGTCCTCACTTTTTTTTTTTTTCATCAACCTCCCCACTTTGTGTCAGATTTCCTTCACCACCTGTGTCTTGGGTAGATTGTTCATCAGAATTTATTTCCCCCACCACGCGGATGCCACGCATTTACAGCAGCTGTAAATCCTGGCTGTAGCACCGAGAGCCTCATAACGCTTCTTAATGAGGAGACGTTCAGAATAGAGACCGCTGCTCAACCGAACGCCTCTTTTCCTTGTCCCTTACCAGCCGTTACCATGGCGAAACCATTCCATTCCAGCCAGCCTAGCAACCCACCTCGCCTCACTACTCCTGAACACGGCCCGCTCCACTTCCTAGAATTATCATCGCTGTCTGTTTAAACTAAAGTAGGAAGCAGGAAAGTTCAATATTTGGGGATGGAGGGATACAAAATGGCTATGCACACACAAAGGAAAGCACGTACTCACACTTAAGTCACGCACACTCACATAATCGAGCCAGTTGCCCAAAACTTGACTTAAACCAGGCCTGTAAATTATAAACCCACAACCAAGTCAGTTACTTTTTCCAGAGAGAGTAATGGAGTTTCAAAGTGCAGTCAGGTCACAGAGTTTAATATACCCCACCAGTTACCCCCCCCCACTCAGTCTATACTGTGGTAGAGCCCCTGTGGAATGGGTCCAACTGTGGATTAAACCAAGAAAGCAGAGGAGAGGGGAGGTTTACACAAAATGACAGGCAGCTAGATGTTTAAACAGACATTAAAACAAATGAAGTGTAAGATTTAGATCATGGGGATGTCTGACTTTTTAGTTTTACAACCTTAATCATACAGCTCTGCATGTTCAAGAATATTTCGGAATCAGGACTCTGTGGACTCATTTAAGGTCCACAGGTCTGTGTAGATGTTGGAAACCTTTATCCTATTGGGCTGTTCAGAAGAAATGCAGGGAGAAAGAGAGGGAGACAGCTTTGTTGCAGCGCTGGTTACAGAAAAGATGGTTGAACTTTGATGCACAGCACCCAACAGGCCTCCCAAGACTACATACATACACACACACTGCAAAACCTGTGGAGTAAAATAGACACACTGTTCTTTAGCAGCCGTTCTTGTCAACATGTCACACCGAGTCTGCTTCCCTGTGCATCAAAATGACCACTGGTACTGTGAAAAGTAACTGTTAGACTATTACTGTATTTAAAAGAAGCCAGAAACAAAACATTTTCGTAAACATTGAACACTTCTTTATGCTCCAGTCAAGGTTTTCAGTTCATGGCAAATAAAGACCATGCTCCTCTGGTTACATGGTTGACATTAACAGAGTAGTTTACCATTTTTGGAAATGTATTCATTCACCTGCATGCGTTGGGTACAGAGTGCAGCACAGAGTCTGGGAGGTAATTAACGTAACTTAGCATAAAGACTGTGAGCAGGGGGAAACAGCTAGCACGGCCCAAAATAGATCTACCAACACGGCTAAGGCCTTGTTCACACGAGTATGAGTAGTTTGCAAAACAAGCATTTTTCTCTCATTTACATGCAATTGGTGATTTATTACTACACACTCTGAAGTTAGTTTTTTTCAAACTCTGGTTGGTGTGTGGGCTGCAAGGTGGGGCAGTTG